CATAAGTATTTTATTTATCAGCACAGAAATAATTTCCTATCATTTTTGAAGAAGCATTGGCAGGCCATTTGAATAATTTCTTTTCTTATTTTTGTCCCATTCAAACGCTTGGAATTACTGTGTTTACAAATTAAAAATGATCTTGTGTATAAATATTGGCAACTCTTGAGAGAATTTTTTCTGGGTTTTCCCATACCCTAAAAATGATTCCTTCTCGCAAAAAATTATTTCATCACATTTTGAAGAAGCATTCGCGCCCATTTGAATATTTTCCATCCAAATATCCAAATTATTTTCGCATTGGAAAAATCTTCCGTCACCAGTTTCGACTATTCTTAAAAATTGGCAACACTCGATGGAGAATTCAATCTTGTGTTTCCCACATCTGAAAATATAATTCTTGGAAAGGTTATTTCCTAATACTGTACTGTATTTTAAAGAAGCATTCTTTTCTATTCAAATATTTTCAGTCGAACACCTGAATAATTTTCAAATCACAAGAATCTTCCCCAGCCATTTTTGTCGATGCTAAAAATTGGCAACACTCGATGGAGAAAGATTCCATCATATATTCCTCCATTCAAAACTTTTTATGCTGCATAAAAAAAAAATCTCCATCACGTTTTGAACGGGGTAAGAATAAGACAAACTGATGCCCTTAGGGCGAATTGCGCAACTCGGCCTCCGGAGGAAAAAATGAATCTCTTTCTGTGTGTGGTTTAAGGTCGTGTCGGGTCACTGGGTCACGCTTGGTGAAAAAAAGATACAAATGCGATTTGATGAAAACGTGTTCCTTTTTTTTTCCCCAAAACGTGGAATGCTCGCAGTACTACCGAGTAATGCAGCATGAGTGATCCATTGATTATAATCCCGATCAATCCACTCGTTGGGGGAAAAAACGTGACCAAGGCCACAGAAACAATTCAGATATTTTTCCCCCCAGATTCTGTCACGCATTTGAAAGCGTGAAGATATATTATTATAAAGGAATGGGCTGTTTCAAAATATCAAGTTCTCTATTAGTAACCTCCGGATTTTTGTCATAGAACCAGGTTGAAAATTGGTGAATTTGTTTTTCGGGAACTCTTCTCTATACTGTAGTATTTTTTCAATAATGCTGTAGTTTCGGTCAAACTGTGCTTTTTTTTTAATGATTGAAGCTGGAATTACCAACTAGGGAAAGTCTCTAGTTTTTTTCCTGATTTTAAACAGCGGCGGGTTCAGTGATGCTGCAGTATTTTGCAAAATATTTTTTCATTTATTTTGGAAATTCTTACAAGTGATAAAATTAGGAAAAGTGCTTAGTTTTAGGTTGTTTTAGATTTTACACAATACAGTATTTTTTGAAAAATTTATTTTTTCTGATTTCTCAAAGGGAGGAAACTTGAGCAAGTCTCCATAGTTTTTTGGTTGTTCCAGATTTTTCACACCAGGTTCAGCCATGCTGTAGTATTTTGTCAAATATTTCTGTATTTGTCTTGGAAATTCTTAAAAGCGAGGAAGCTTGGGGAAATCTCCAGTTTTTGGTTGCTTTACATTGTACACAGTAGTTTTTGTTGTTGTCAAATTCATTTTTTTCTGAATTCCTACAGTGAGGAAACTTGTGCCTAGATTTTTGGCTGTTCCAGATTTTACACAAAAGGTTCAGTAATGCCGCAGTATTTTATCTAATTTTTTTATTCTTAAGAAAAGGATACTTGGGGAAAGTTCCAGTTTTTAGTTGTTTTAGATTTTACCCAATAGTTTTTCATCAAATTTATTTTCCCCTGAATTATTCAAGTGAGGAAACTTAAGCAAGTCACTAGTTTTTTAGGTTGTTCCACATTTTACACACCAGGTTCACTGAGGCTTTAGTATTTTGTCAAATATTTTGTGAATTTTCAAAAGCGAGGAAGCGTGGGGAAGTCTCCAGTTTTTGGTTGCTTTAGATTGTACACAGTAGTTTTTGTTGTTGTCAAATTCGTTTTTTTCTGAATTCCCAAAAAGAGGAAAATTGGGCAAGTCTCTAGTTTTTTTGGTTGTTCCACATTCCACACACCAGGTTCAGTTATGCTGTAGTATTTTGTCAAAAGTTATTTTTATGTTTATTTTATTTTTTCTGAATTCCCAAAAAGAGGAAAATTGGGCAAGTCTCTAGTTTTTTTGGTTGTTCCACATTCCACACACCAGGTTCAGTTATGCTGTAGTATTTTGTCAAAAGTTATTTTTATGTTTATTTTGGAAATTCTTAAAAAGTGAGGCAACTTGGGGAAGTCTCCGGTTTTCCGGTTGTTCCAGGGTAATCAAAGTTTATGAGCAGATGAACAGAAGGTTATTGACGATTCGGGTGCAGGTGTGTGGAACCAGGATGGAATCCCCTGGTGCAGAGCAAACGTCAGTCTATTTCCAGTCAGCCCCATTTCCCCCAGACCGAATTTCCTTTTTAATTGCAACCCACTTTGACTGTGCGAATTATTTCCGCGAGGCCGGAGAAAATGATTGTCAATTTTCGTGTCCAATAAAACGGACATGAATTTTCTCTCCCCCGGGGACGAATAAATTTTTCCCAATCGACGCAATTCCGTCTCGCATTGTTATATATATTATGCTTTTTGAGGAGGCAACCCTTTGATTTATTTTCATGCGGGAACCAGAAAATTATGGAGGCCAACTTTTTTGAAAGAAATTTTCATACAAATTTGTTCATAAATCTTATTCAGCTTTCCCTTGAAGCATGTAAAATAAAACTTGGCGTTGGGGGATGAAAAAAAATGTTTTTAAGGTTTACTTCTAGTTTTTGTTTTTGGTTTGCTTCCATATTACATAACTTTGACATTATTATTTTGTGATGTATTTCATGAAATTTACGCTTTCTTTCCTTTTTCGCCCCCATTTTTTCAAGTCAATGTCCAATAAAATATGTCTTACGTTGATTGTGCTTTTTGAGAAGGCAGCTATTGTTTCATTTTTATGTGGGAACCCAAAAATTATTCATGCTCACTTCTTCGATTTTTTCTCAAAGTTAAAAAAATATTCATCAATTTTCTTCAAATCATGGGCGTATCGAAAAATAATTTGTGTTCAACTACGTGAATATCGACTCAAAAACAATTAAAGATGGTTTTCGTGAAGCTTACTTTAGTTTCTTTTCCATTTCATGAAAAAAAAAAAACTTGGAGTATCCAAAAATATACGCGTTCGCGTGTTTTATTTTATGTTAAATTTAATGTTCAATGTTGAATGTTTTATGTTCAATAAAATGTTTATCGATTTTGTATCCGTCCAATAAAACGCGGTGAAATATATTTCGCGGTTTGTGATGAGCATCGACTGTTCTTAAGGTAACTTTCCATTCATTTTTATGCATCATTCAAAAAGTGTTACTGGTTAACTTTATGGAAGGTCTTACACAAATCTCATGCGCATACGCATTTAAAAAAATATGATGCATTTTTATCTTCAAATTTTATGGAAAGCATTTGAACATAGATTTATTTCTGTGGTCATTAAGAGTTAGCATTGAAACGTATCCATTTTTCTTGGTCAGGCTTTTTTTTTAATGCGACTACAGTTAATTATTCTTGTACAGTACTGCACCAATTATGAGAAGGTCTTTTCAGAATTTAATGCGTGCGTTTTAATTTGTTTTCAAGCCTAAATTTATGAGAAATAAATAAATGAGCGTGGATTTTTTCGGTGGAATAATATTCTGAATTGAGGCAGAAAATTTCGCATCAATCTGCGGTTGGTTTTTCAAAAGTGTGCAATGGATGTTTTTCCTCTTTTAGTGCAGCTAGGCAGACATTATTGCAGCGTTAAATTTTGAAAGGGTCTTATCCAAAGTTCGAACAGAGATTTTCATTCTCACCCTCATTCTTTTATTGGTGAAAAAATTCAACGAAAAACTACCGTATGCAAAACAGCAAAAAATATTTAAATTTTTAAAAAGCGGAATTTTAAGAATTTCGTGAAATTTTTGATAAGGGGGAAAGTCCACTGGCTGCAAAAAAAAAGTTGACGGTGATACTGCAGTTTAAAGAAACTGCAATTTAGACGACTTCAAGTCCTAAAGTTCCGTATTTGAAATTGTCGAAAATTTTTGACTTTTCATGATTTTCAAAAATCTTAACTTCTCAAAATTATCGACAAAAATAGAATATGCTGCCTGGAATTTTTTCGCTGGCCAGGCAATTTTTCCAGCTCATGAAAATTTTAATTCGTTGGACAGAAAAAAAATCGAGTCAGAATTTTGAGACCTTCTAAAAAGCAAATTTCCAGGAATTGGCCTTTATTTCCGAAGTGAAACTATCGAAAAAATAAAGATCTGCTGCCTGTAAATAAACATAATTCAAACCGAATTTTCCCACATCCAGCTTTTCAATTTATTTTCAACAGGTGAACAAAAAATGCGACCAGACAAAATTCAGCATTTTTCCATCGTCACGGAATAAAAATTTCCGTGAAATAGCTCGAGAATTACCTATAAAAAAAAAAAAATTTTGACGTTACAACAGCAACAACGAAAAGTAATGTGGCAACTCAATAGTGTTTTCTTGTGGCTTTTCATTCTCGAATCGTGGCTCATTCTCATGCTTTATGTCTTCAAGTTCATTGCGGAATTTCATGAAAGTATTGTTTTGTTTTTTGTTTTTTCTCTCTCAAGGGTTACTTTTTTCCAGCTATGGAACGATAAAACGTCGGCGCAAGCATTTCATCAGCGTTGCATGAAGAGAATCTTTCAAAACAACAAAAATTTATAATGCACTTCGAAGGACGCTCGGGGAAATATTTTCTAAAATAAAATAAAAATATAAAAGAGGAAATCAGACCTGGAGCATGTTTGTTTTCTTTTGTATTTAGGCTGGCATGTGTGGGGGGTTCAGCCACGTTTTCCGGATTACTCGGATTATCCCCCCATGTTCTGTTTCTTCCATCCTTCAGGGGACTTGCTTTGAAATTCAAAACCTTCCCAAACTTCCTCATTTTTTTCTTTAAATCTTTTTTATTTTTTCACAGGTTCGGAAAAAATAGAAAATAAATTGGTGCTTGGCTTTTTTTTCCCCTCTTCTTCCTGAATCCTTTTTGTTTTTTGGGGGTGGGGAAGAAAGGAAGGAAAAGAGAGAGAGAGGAAGTAAAGAGAGGCAAAAAAAAACAGTGGATGAACAGAGAGTGAGATTCTGGGGAGGTGTCCAAGTATGGCGCCGAGGGGCTGGGACATGCGGGCAGCCATGACACCAGGAAATGGCGGCGTCCTTCATTCTCCATACTCCAGGATGGTGTCTAGAAAGCGCTTCATCCGCCATCTCTGCCAAGTGAGTCCAGCATGTGAAAGTCACAGTCAGTCATTCATTCTTTCCCCCCCCCCCCACTTTTTTTGTTGCCCTGTTGTATAGGTTTGGTTATACTGTACTTTACTGTACTGTACATGTACTGTACATGTATGTACTTATGTTTGTGCGGGATTGAGGAAAAGGAGGAGGAGATTAGGTTCATCCTGTCCAGACCTTATCAGGCTTCCTGGGGGAAAAGGTTTGACCAGAATTCCGTGTTGCGGAAAGCCTGGTTTTCTCACATCAACTTGGATCATCTGCCAGACCTTTGGATGGCTTCTCTAGAATCTTCCCTTTTTTCCTCTCAAAGATAAAAAATATATATATTGGTTGGGGAAAAGAGGCACTTTTGCACCAAGTCTTTTGGTACATGTCAAGGAAAGGAGGAGGAGGAGGAGGAAAAGAGAAGAAAAAGATATGAATGGTGGGATGGATGTCGGGGATTTTTTTTTTTTTTTTCTTCCCCATTCAAATTGCCTAAGGCTTCCGTGACAAAATTTCGAATTTCCTGGCGGGGAACAGGATTTATTTCTTTTGTTGAAATATGTCTGCCAGGTTTCCTGGGGGAGGGGGGGGGGGGGGGGGTTCAGGGAAATAAATCCGACTCTTCATCTATTAATATTCCATGTTTTTCATTCTTGTTCCATCTTCTATTGTGGCCCATATATTTCAAGAAAGCTTCCCTGAAATATGTTTTCCTCTGTCTCAGTTCAACTGTCGACCTTTGCGTCTGACGGATGGTTTATTTTTTTTAGACTAATATTTTCCCTACCTGAATTTAAATTTTAAACCATCTCCAAGATTTATAGAAAACGTTGCGCGATTTTTCTTGGCATCAGAATAAAACATTTATGCGTGGGAGATTTTTTTAGAGTTCCTCGTAATTACAATTTTGACTTGTTTGAATCCATGAAATCACTAGTTCTTAGAAAAAAATACTTTTCGAAATATTTAATCTTAATTTTTTTTGTCTGGACAAGATTTTCGCCAATTACTGAAACATTTCCCCCAGGGTATTAAAACTCCTCTTCAAATAATTTTTTCATCATTTTTATGCATTGTGAAATCAAAGAATAAGCCCTCCAGAACCTGTAAATAAAAATCCAAAAAATTACCAAATAATCTATTTCCATTTCAATGGAAAAATAAAACGTGGCATCAAAGATTTAGGAGGTTTCAATTGTGTGAAGAAAATGCAGTTCCATGTGATAAATCGCAAATTATGTCTACGCGAATTTTTTTTTTCTTGCAAGCATTCCGTTATTCTAAAGTTTCAATCACAGTGGCGCTAATTGACACACTTTAAAGAAGCAATGGATGCCTAAGAAAAGTATATAAGAAGGTGAAGAATTGAACCATGCCCTCTTTTACCCCACAACAAGATAAATAGAGAAGCAAAAATAAATAAATAAATCAGGAGCCCTCTGAACTTTTTCCTGGCATTTTGCCACTGAAACAAACACACACATGCATCGTTACATTTTTGTGTGTGAAATCTTCACCCAATGTTCGCCTTTTTATAGTGTTTGTACTTTGCATCTATGCGGCAAGGTTTTCAGCAAAAGTTTTTGGAGAGATTTAAATTTTATGAAGTTCAGCAGAAATCCCCCCCCCCCCCTTCTCCTTTTGAATGAATTGGTTATTTGCTTACATAGCAGCCAATTTAAAAACATGTATTACTCGTATGAAGAACGAGAGGAAACATTGTACATTTTGTCACGTTTTCCTGTTTTTCATTCTCCTATACCTTTTACTATAATTTGAATTTCGCATATATTGGGATTTGATTTATATTGATATTTCTTGTTACCTCGTGATCGCTTGGCATTCGTGATAATCTCCTTTGCAATTCAAATATTGCTTCGTGTAGAAAAAGTAATGAAGCGAGATGTAGATTCAAACATGCAAGATTTTGAAATAATTGTAGGGGAGAAACACCGAGTGCTTGAAATTCGAAAATTTCGGAACTCATGTTCCCGAAACTTTAAATAAAATTGAAATCCAAAGAGGAAATCTTCAAGAACAACACGCTTTTACCGCAGTATTTCAATTAGTTCATTAATTCCATCATTTTATTTGTTTTCTTTTTGTATACAAAGAAGCGAATGTGTTCAGAAACAAAAACCAGAGCAACTTTGAGTAAACTTTCAGTTTTTGTAAAAATACGTGGAAATGAAGAAAAAAAACCTCAAAGATCCTAGCGTTAAAAGCGACAAAACAAAAACAGCTTCAGACAAGAAAGAATTTTCCCTCTGCTTACAAAAATCTTTTTCATTGCATTAACTTTAGCCTGATTTTTTTTTTTACTAGAATCCACATCATAACCTTTTCAATGGAAATAGCAAACAAATATATATATATATATATTCTGTACATATAATACGGCCATGAACACTTAAGAGTCACAAAATAACGTTTCTCTCATCCGAACCCGCATCTTACCAACATGATAACTCCTTTAGAAATATTTCAAGTCATCTATTTTCCAACTTGCTTGGAAATGAGGGCATACTGTTCTTTGAAAACTCATTTCCTAATTGCCGAGATTGGGGTATTTTTTTGCAAAATCTTTGAAGCGTAATTCATTAGAAAATAAGTAGAAACTACAATTTTTAAAACGCAAGAAAAGAAAAATAAATATACTTTTTTGATGGTCCCTGAGTAGCAAAAGGAAGAGTAAAACTGAAGCCTGGACAATTCTTTCAGGATTATGAGACAATCTTTCCACTCTCCTTCAGGCTTTGTTTTTAAATCTCAAAAAAAAAAATTTTTAGGAGGCAGACATCTTTGTTTGTCCCTCTCATTTCTGGACACCTACTGTCCATTCAAATAGCAGGATTACCTTCACACTTGACTTCAACGAATGTTAACATTAGATTAAAACGTTCATCAAAACTCAACAATATGACAGCGACAAGAAGAAATGAACATTCTTTTCAAATCTCAAAACCATTTTCCCTTCTTCCCAATAACCCCCATCTACCAGTAATGACCATCAGAGATACATTCACAACTCATTTCCAACTGAGTAAAACAATTATTGAACTTTTGAAAAAAAACCCCCAGATTACCAACCACAGATAGAAGGATATATGTGTGTGTGTGTTTTGGTAAATGGACACTGTCCTCTGCCCCCTGGCTCTGGCAGGAAGGGGGGGGGCGGGGGTCGTAAAGGAAGGAAGGAAGGAGGAAAGCGGCAATCGATCAGTCTCCGGAAGGTTTTTCGAAATTCCGCCTGACCAGCGTTTGTCCTGCTAAGGATACTGATCCTTGGCTCCTTTTTTTTGTTGCTCTTCTTTTGTTTTCCTTCTTTCCCTCACTGTTATCATCATTATTGTTGTGGTCTGCTCCTGTTGTCTTGTCCCAACTGCTGAGTGACAAGGGCAGAATGATAAAGACATAACCCCCTTTTTTCCCTTCTTCTTTTCATATATGTGTGACCCTTTTCTGTGTGTTTTTTTTTCTCTTCCCAAAACGACTTGGTTGTGTGACGGAGGCAGACATGTTTTATTCCTTTGCTTTGTGTGCAACGATCTTGCAACTGAAGGAATATATCTTCCAGAATTGTATTATATATATATTCTGTACATATAATACGGCCATGAACACTTAAGAGTCACAAAATAACGTTTCTCTCATCCGAACCCGCATCTTACCAACATGATAACTCCTTTAAAAATATTTCAAGTCTTCTATTTTCCAAATTGCTTGGAAATGAGGGCATACTTATTTGAAAACCCGTTTCCCGATTGCCGAGATTAGGGTATTGTTTTGCAAAATCTTTGAAGCATAATTCAATAGAAAATAAGTAGAAACTGCAATTTTTAAAACGCAAGAAAAGAAAAACAAATACACTTTTTTAATGGTCCCTGAGTAGCAAAAGCAAGAGTAAAACTGAAGCCTGGACAATTCTTTCAGGAATATAAGACAATCTTTCCACTCTCCTTCAAGGATTGCTTTCTAAATCTCAATGAAAAAATAAAAACAAATTCTTTTAGGAGGCAGACATCTTTGTTTGTCCCTCTCATTTCTGGACAACTATATATTCAAATAGCAGAATTATCTTCACACTTAACTTCAACCAATGTTAACATTAGATTAAAACTTTCATCAAAACTCAACAATATGACAGCGACAAGAAGAAATGAACATTCTTTTCAAATCTCAAAACCATTTTCCCCTCTTCCCAATAACCCGCATCTACCAATAATGACCATCAGAGATACATTCACAACTCATTTCCAACTGAGTAGAACAATTATTGAACTTTTGAAAAAACCCCCCAGATTACCAACCACAGATAGAAGGATATATGTGTGTGTGTGTGTTTTGGTAAATGGACACTGTCCTCTGCCCCCTGGCTCTGGCAGGAAGGGGGGGGGGGCGGGGGTCGTAAAGGAAGGAAGGAGGAAAGCGGCAATCGATCAGTCTCCGGAAGGTTTTTCGAAATTCCGCCTGACCAGCGTTTGTCCTGCTAAGGATACTGATCCTTGGCTCCTTTTTTTGTTCTTTTTTTGTTTTCCTTCTTTCCCTCACTGTTATCATCATTATTGTTGTGGTCTGCTCCTGTTGTCTTGTCCCACTGCTGAGTGACAAGGGCAGAATGATAAAGACATAACCCCCTTTTTTCCCTTCTTCTTTTCATATATGTGTGACCCTTTTCTGTGTGTTTTTTTTCTCTTCCCAAAACGACTTGGGTGTGTGACGGAGGCAGACATGTTTTATTCCTTTGCTTTGTGAGCGACGATCTTGCAACTGAAGGAATATATCTTCCAGAATTGTATTTATGTCTGTGTGGAAGTAAAAAAAAAAAAAAGCCATGCTTGGAGGCAGACATGTTTGTGAGCTCATCTGGTTTCTCAACTATTAGCTTATCTTCACACTTAATCATTGTTTCTCAATCTCAATCAATGTAGGACAGTAAAATTCAAGATTGCAGGCAGACATCTTTGTTCATTTTTTTCTGATTAGGAAAATAATGAACAATAATTATAATAACTATAATAATAATTTAATAATATAATATAATATATATAATAATTATTATATATGAATAATTATATTCATTTAGTTGCATGGACAACTAATTTTCAACTGTAGAATAATATTTCCATTTAAGGATTGTTTCTCATTCTCACTGTAGAAGAGTGCAATCTATGCTTGAAGACAGCAGACATCTTTGTTTATTCATTTAGTTTGTGGAATCGCCATCTTTAATTTCTACTGGAATATTTATTTTTTCCTCTGTGTTTTATATGCAGTACAGTACAGTATTTCATTCATCTGATTTGTATGGGCACATCTTTCAAGTGAAGGACTACATATTTCAGAATTTTACTGTAAAATATATATATATATATATTTGTGGGGGAAGGAAAACAAGCTATGCTTCGTGACAGACATATTTGCTTGTTTGTCTGGTTTGACTACCAGCTTTCCTTCACACTTTCTTCCTGGCATTTTTTTTCTAAATTTCAATGTAGCAAAATAAAATGCATATTTTAGGCAGACATCTTTGTTGATTTTTCTGATTTGTGGACTACCATGGCTGTCAGCTGTAGAACAGTCTTTCCGTTCAAGGATTGTTTTTCATTCTGAATGAATACAAATGCAATCTATGCTTGAAGGCAGACATCTTTGATCACCCATTTAATAGTTTGTAATTAAATACGATTCATCCTTGCTGGCAGACATCTTAGTTTTTACAGTACTGTATCTGTGGTTTGTTAACAAGCATCATTCAACTCTCTGGAATAACTTTTTGCCTCCAAAGAATGGTTTTTTGTCTGAAAAATATTTTTGCAATGCATGCTTGGAGGCAGACATCTTCTTTCATCTCTTTCATTTGTCAGCTGATATTTGTGTTCATTTCTCTGGTTGATGAACAACCCTCTTTCTACTGTGAGACAATCTTTCCAATCTCCTCCAAGCATTGTTTCTAAATCTCAATGAAAAAAAAATTATTTTAGGAGGCAGACATATTTGTTTGTCCTTCTCATTTGCGAACAACTACTGTATATTCAAATAGCAGGATTATTTTCACACTCAACTTCAACCAATGTTCTTTTTCTCAGTAAAGAGAGCAATCCAAAGACAAGGGGAAACACATTTGTTTTACTTGCGACCATCTTGAAGGCAGTCATTTTTCAAAGCTCTCTTGGACCTCAATCAACAGTATTAAATTGTACTTTTTATACTTGAGTGATGTCCTTGATGTCAGACAGTATTTCTTGGCAGAGGTGTCTTTGTTTCAATAAAAGAGATGCTCGTGCTTGTGGCCATTTGCATCATCACACAGCTTCAGACTGGTAAAAAAAAGCGTTTCCTTATTTTCCCAAAGAAGGCAGCCATCATTTTTGTGCAGAGATTTATTGTTGCTATCGCAGTGGGAAAGCAAGGCCATTAGTTTTTCACCCAGTGAAGTTATGGAAAAACCTGGAACAGTTTTCTTAAAGGGTGCTGAGAAAAAAATAGAAAGTCTTCTCCCTACTGTGGCTTGTTTAAAATTTCCAAAAATGTCAACAGTAGGATTTCCTGAGTTTCAAAATGGCCAAATCTTTAAAAACAGATGAACCACAATAAGGTTTAGCCAGGTTATTGAAATCTTCTCAGAGTAACTGATCGCATGGATTTTTTTTTTAGCTGAGCCCTGTAATGGTTTTAGGAATCTCAGTTTCATGTAAAAGAAGCGTTGTTTGCCCCTATTTTTTGAGCCAAGAACGCGGTAAAAAAGAGGAAATCAATGAGGAGTCGTTAAGGCATGGAAAGCTTTTCTCTGGCCCTGGCAATTATTCATGGACCTTTGCACAATTCTTCAGGAGCCATCTTTTTTTTCCTTTCTTAGGTGTGAAAGCGAGACCAAAGCGTGCAAAATGATCCTCATGACATTTTCATCCATTCGCCAAATGATGATGGTTTGTTCGGAAAGGGATGCTAATGGTTTTGCAATTTTGCTTTCTGCAGGGTGGACTAGTCGTTATTCTCTTGGTGACCATTTGCATCAATGTGGCATTCATCTTTGACACCAGCAGGAGACTGCAAAATCAACAGCAGCAACAACAAAGTTTGACATTCTCTGGATTTGGTGGTAAGTTTCACTCTCCCCCACATTATTTCAGCAAAATTCAAATTGGATCAATTTCACAGAATATATTTATATGCTCTATACTTCATTAAAATAAGGGCCACAATGAAGGGTTCAAGGGAAACAGGATGCAAGTCCCTGCTGGAACAGAGTTGCAAAAACAGACCTTGAAAGTAACCAGGTTTAACAGATCTTCTCTAGAAATCAGTTTATCAGCATATTGATCAGATTCCTTTGCAACACATGGAACCCCCTTGGTGGTGGTGAATTTCTCAGCATGAGGCACAACAAAGCCAATTAATTGCTTTTGAACCAAGAGGGGAGCTGCTTAATTAAAATCCACCTCATATTCACCACCCCTTTTGTGGGGCGTGTGTGTGTGTGTGTGAGTGTGTGTTGCAAAATGCGGGGTAGGGGTGGGGGGATTCATTTTGCAGCTTTGAAGTGTTGCAGTGGATTTGCTCAATTATCATCATGCATTATTCTATATTCTGACCAATAATGAGTGCTGGCTTCAAATTCTGAGCTAAAAACTTTTTTCTCTCATTTGTGCAAGCCATATTAAAATTTGTAAACACTCCCAGAAAGTTTCATTTTAAATTGATGAACCTTTTTTTTTTCAATGTACAAAAACAGGAGAAGAATCATCAGCCAACAACAGAAGACATGCAGGCCTGAGGCTTCAGGAGCTCACCAAACCCAAGTCAATAGCTGTGGAAGTTTTGTCCAGCCAGACAAAAGTGTCTGTTTCTGTGGATGGAAATACAGTGAGGATAACAGACTTGTATTCAAAACAAAGCTTCTTTATTTTCTTTTGGAAATCATTATTGATGTTTTGTTTTACTACAGATTTTTGAAGCAGGAGAAGAAGCGAGAAACAGGGGAATTCATGTGTTGGTGCTGAACCAAGGAACAGGGGCTGTGATGGCCCAAAGAGTGTTTGACACTTACTCTCCTCATGAGGATGATGCCATGACACTTTTTGTGAACATGGTGTCAGATGGACGCATTCTGGTCTTTGCTGTCAAGGTTCATTTTCCTCAAAACTTTTACTTATATTCTAAGTTACCTTCAGTAATATTTTGAATGTGGTCCTTTCAGGATGAGGGTACCTTTCAAATGAAGGCAGGGGCCAGGAGTCTATTGGCAAAGCTGGGCAGTCAAAAGTCAGTAGAGTTGGGCTGGAGGGACATGTGGGCCATGGTGACCCAAAAGGGGGGCAAAATGTTTGGTGAGGCATACTCCAAGTCCCCAGGCTTCAACAAGTGGGGACCCCCAACTTGGCTCAGAGTTGATGTGCCTTTGCACTCCATTGAAGGTCAGTTTCTGGAATCTATTTATTTTTATGAATGAAAAATTTACTAATTCTATTTAAAAAAAATTATCTTCAAAATTAAATGCTTTGGAATCTTGTCAAGAGAATGCTACAGGAACCAAGAAAATGCCTGCGCTATAATAAAGCATACTGATAGAAATGCAAATAATATAATGGACATTGGAAATGGATTTTGAATAAATATTCTTTTTTATAATTGGATTCTGCTGTAGTACTGTACTTCAGTAAATGTCCTCCCCAAAATAAAAAAAGAGGAACTTAGTGTGCTTGCTTTGATGAAAAGTCATAGAAATACAATGCAATTGAACCTCAGTAGCTCCAACTTCCCCAAGTCAAATACCGGTACCTCCCTTTGTCAACTTTTTTCAAGTCCCTTTCTGAATTCCCTTGGAAACAATGTACTAAAATCCTCTTTAACTAAAAGGCTTTCCCCCTTTAAAAACCTCTGTATTTCAATTCAAATTTGGCTGAGGCATTTTGGCTGTCATTTTTGTGACTCAGCGAGGAAAGAGAAAAGCGATAAAAAATAATTTTATGAAATTTACAAGGACGTTAATATTATTTGTACACTTGCCTCCAAGTCAAGTATCCTTTCACATTTTTACAAGGCAGTTTTGGGCCCAAAATTATATCTTATTTCTACAGAATCTAATTTTGACTTCCTTTAATTATTTTTTATGCAAAAATTGTAGTTTCCCTAAGCTCGAAACTGCCTCAAGTCGATTTTCTTCTGGTTCTTTTTTGAATTACATTTTTGGAGAGGTTAATTCCATTTTAAATGCATGCCATTTTTGACAAAGAATAATTGACAACATCCTGATCATTTTTGCACATCTGGTTTGCAGAGACTTGTATGGTTTAAAAATAATATAGAGACACGCACTGAAGAGAATTTTCTCAATTTCTTTTAATATTACCATATAAGATCTGATTATTGTGTTCTCGTGGAAATTCAGCAAGATATTCTCACATAAATTCAAGAAGCAAAAATATTTTCAGCAAATAACTAGAGTTAAAAATGCCTCTTTGGTCAATAATAAGAAAAACCCTCGCAATGCGCTCTTATCTGTCTCAACTTCCACCTGCCACATTTCCACCACAAAAAAAAGAATTTGCATGCGATAAGGAAAAATGAGGGAACAGGAAACAAAATACTGAGCATTCTGTGAGTAGTTTTCAGAATAAAGAGATTAGATTACAGTGCTTCTCATGCAAAAACAAAGCCATCACTGTTTTGGTTCGTGTGGTTTCCAAAGGGAAAAAAAAACAACGGAAGGGCTTTGGATTTGAAGATTGTGTTTGATTTCCATTTGAGCTACAATTTCCGATTGGATTTTTCTCATTAAAAAACGCCCGTGGTGACCTTGCTTTGTTTGCTCGAGGTCAAACATGCTGTCCTGATAAAAAAGAAAGCAGAAAAAATCATTTGTATTGCAGAAGTACAGCACAAGTACTAGACTTGAAAGTTTGCCGAGCTGTTTTCAATCTATTTTCCGGAAAGTACCTCGATGTGTGTCAATTTGTCCCGCAACTGACGGAATTGAAACCTCAGATGTTTCACAAAGGGTCTTTTTTTTATTTCTGAAGATGGTTCGCTTTAAAATTGTTCTTCCATTTGCAATAAATAAATAAATAAATAAATAAATGTGTGCGATGAATTCCTTTTTTCGTTTTAATCTCGTGAAGAAGAGATTCTTGGGTATTCCATATTCCCTTGGGTCCATACACAAGCTGTGCTTGTAATGAACTGGGCGTTGGCTGTGTGGTTCCTCTTCTCTTGCGGTTGATTTATTTCTGAGGTCATTAAATGGTGGGTTTCTAGTTTTTCCTTTGCCCAGATGAGGGGTGGGGGATAATAACCTCTGAACAACTCATGTGGCCCTGAGCGGGGGGGAAACGCCTTCTTATTTCTTCTTCTGCGCGTCGCACTTGCGAGATTAGGCTTTTTTTCTGGTTCTGTGACTGGTAATTGATGAGACAATTTGGCCTCTTTTTTATTTTTTTGTTGAATATTGATTTTTTTTAGAGAACTTGGGAGTTTTCGAATATGGATTTTTAAAGCTTCTACTCTGCGCCCTTTTTGATTTCATGTTAACTTTTTTTTTAAACTTCTTTTAGGTTATGACTGCTGTGTTCTGCAAGTTTTGGGACTTGATTTAAACCCACTTTAAATTTTGCTTTAATTTTCATGATTTTGTATCCTCTAGTGATTGATGAAGCCATTTTTCATTTTTCGGATCTTGTTTGGATATTACATTTTGAGGATTTGGGATGAGTTTTTGAAATTAAATTTCAACAGTTTATACTGCCTTTTTCGATTTTATATTAGCTTTTGCTCATCTTTTCATAGTGTACATCTGTATGATGCAAGTTTTGCGACTTGATTTAAACCCACTCATTATTTTATAATATAACTAAAATTTTTCCATGCGTTTGTAACCTCGAGTCCTTGATCAAGAAATTTTGCATTTTTAATTATTTTCGGAAGATTTGGTAGTGTTGAATTGATATCTTGAACAACTCAATCAGCCTTATTTCGATTTGGCATTGACTTTTGATCAACTTCTCACACCTTATTTCTTCTGGCTGAACAAATATTTCTCTGACAGAAATGAAAACCTACTCACAATTGTTACTGTCTCATTTTTCCAGGCTATTGCATCCTCCGAGGACTGATAAGACAATTTTCTCTTTTTTCTTGTATATTTTATTATTCTTTTAAAATGCTTTGGAAATTTAATATTTCTGTTTTAAAATCTACTGAGCCCTTTTTTTTATTCAGTATTGAATTTTGTTTGACTTACCATACGGTGTGTCTGTTTTAAACAAATTTTGATACTCAACTTAAAAGCACTTAAAATCGTACTACATTTTCCGCACGCATGCGTAATCTCCATCAAAATTCAAATTTCACAAATAAAGAATGATACTCTGCTTGAAATAATAGTTTACAGTACACAAAGAACCAAAATTGCATGAAAACCTTGATAGAACCATTATAAGGTTGTGAAAAAAATGTTTTAAACCATCCAGAAAATTCATCTCTCTTTTTTTTTAAATGCTGTATATATTTTTACATGTTTTTAGTTATTTCTTTGGGTTTATTGTAGAAAGTGTCCATTTTTGTTTTTTTCATTATGCAGTAGTTGTAGCTGGTACAGTACAGTACTTTCATCAGACATAATGATAGTTCCTAGTTGGCATTTCCTTTCAAGTTTTGAATCATTTACAAAATAAGGTTTTATGATTGATGCTGCATGGGAAGGGGGTAAGGGTGTATAAATGGATCACTTTCCCCCCAACCTTTACCAGCAGCGGGTAGCTCAAGTGTATTTCCTTCCTTTTCCACAGAGTGAGATTGATTCATATTCTAGACTAGTACTCAAGTTATTTGGAGAGGGCGTCCATCAGAGGACTGATTTCCCCCCAACCTTTACCAGCAGCGGGTAGCTCAAGTGTATTTCCTTCCTTTTCCACAGAGTGAGATTGATTCATATTCTAGACTAGTACTCAAGTTATTTGGAGAGGGCGTCCATCAGAGGACTGGTTGGGGAAAACGCCCAGACTAAATCATGAGGGTGTTTTATGACCCTGTGGCTGGTGTCACAAGTGCTCATTTGAGGCATGATTTGGTGTGTGGGGCTCTGCCAAGTGCATCTTGGGATGATAAGACCACTGGTGTTGGCTAATCAGGGTTGATTAATTGTGTCCCTGCTGCTGAGATGATATTAACAATTCATTCTATAACCTCCTCAACTTTTTGCGTCATCAACCTTTTTTTTTTTTTTTTTTGGTGGGACAGATTTATTTTTTTTCATCTGTCTCCAAACAATATGTACTTCATTGATGAATGAAATATGGCACATATGACTTCACTATGAGCTGTGTGCATGTAAAGATTATGAAGGGTGGAGTTTTAGTTTTTGGATCAGAATTATCTTAGAGAATTTGTAGAACATAGAAGAACTTATCAATGAAGTTCAACCTCTTCTTATGCTGGCATCAATATATTTTAGACACACCTTATAATTTTCTCTGATTCTCGAGAGTTTCCCTCCATTGATGTTATGACAGATCTACAACTTTAACAGAAAAGTTTACAATTAAAATTTTCCTATCGTTTTTATCAAACATTAAAAGTTCGTTTTATTAGTAGAGGTTTTATAAGCTCTTTCAGATGTCACTTATTGTAGCTATTCTTCTTGCATCCATCTTTTTTTAGACAAACTTTCAAATTTAGAAATATTTTTTCTTGGTTGATGCATAAAATATGAAACTGTGACTGTCGCATGTTCATGTCAAAATGATGAGAGGTGCCCTTTACTTTTCTGCAACAAACATAATTATCACCAAGATTTACAGAAATAGCAGGCAATCCATCAAACCTTTTTTCATTGTGCAGTTATGACACCAACTCATTTCTCGCCAGACTTTCGCAGGAAACTTCGAAAATAAATCCAATTTTTATTTTTCCATTATTATATTTTAGTAAGACCAACTTTTAGATTTGCTCTGCTTCTTAGAAACATTGGTTTCCTTCATGACTATAGAAAAATATGAAAAAATTAACTTTTCAAATCTTAATTTTCAAATTATCACGCCTGAAGTTTATAGTTTTGAAGCCAACTGAATTAATATTCGGACTAAGCAAGAAGCCTAAAAATTAATTCCAATTCCCTTATTTTTCGCTGTCGGTATTTTTTTTTTTAGATACAAAAAGTATTCACATCTTCATTGATGCATAAAATCATAGTTAAACTCTTACGTTTCATGTTGAAATAATGACAGGTGTAGTTTGAAATTTTGAAAAATTCTTATCTCAAGACTTCGTACAAAAATTCAAAATTAATTCAAACCTTTCATTTTTGCATCTTTTTTTTTAGACACTCTGTCAGATTTTTGTTGTCTCTAAAAGAATATTTTCAACCCAATTGATGCATAGAATTATATTTGACTTCACGAAATTCATTTTTAAATAATTACAGGTAAAAATTAAGTTCTGAAATAAATCCAATCATCTCTACAATTCATAAAAAAAGCTCAACGATCAATTCTGACACCATCATCAAATTTTCCTGGGACAAACTTTCAGATTTTCTTTACCTCTCTACTGGAAATATTTCTTTCCTATTAATGGATGATTATGAAATTTTGAATATTTCACCCACTCAATAAAAAAAATTCTGCTGACAGTTGAATTATTCAGTTTCAAAACAAAACGAAATTATCCCCAGTCTTCGAGGTGGGATGGTTAATTTTTAGGTGTGAAATGCTAAGGTGTGGTCGGGCATGAGGCACAAGAAAATTGAGCCAGGTCGTGAACTCTGATGAGGGCAAGTTTGCTGTCAGTCTTTCGCTGATGAATGAAAAAATATATATATACATTTTCCTAGCTGACTATTTTTTTTACATTTATTTATGCTACAGTGATGGAATGTTTATATGAGCAAAAAAAAGGGGGGGGGGAGGGGTTCAAGGGATTGTTTGAAAGGTCACAGGGAATCAATAAACCAGCCCTCTTTTGATGTGACTTTATCGAAGAGTAACGGGTTCTCAAATCGAGTTTTTTATCTCAGAGCTTTCAAGGGAATTATGCTCCAAATTTTATAAAAAACGTCTCTGGCTTACACTAACCCCTTTGAGACTTCTTCGAGACTCCTCCAGTCTCAAGACGAGGTCCTAACTTCCAATACCGTCACAAACAAGGACGAGTCTAGGAAGTGGGTAGTCGAAAGATCCAGAAAAGGTGCAGTTTTTTTGTGCAATTTTTTTTTTCAGCAGAAAAAAACAGTGTAATTTTTTGCGCTCTTTTCTCTCCGTGTCAAAACTTCAGCTTGCAAACAACAGGGTGGAGAAAGTTCCTGTGGCAATTATTGCCAGCAACAGACCACACTACTTATACAGGTGAGTGAGAAATAACCGACTGGTTTCGGGTGTGGTTTTTTTTGTGGTCATTTATTCAGCAATTTTTTTTTGGCGTGCAGAATGTTGAGGTCCTTGTTGGCAGCCAAAGGAGCCAATCCAGAAATGATCACCGTGTTTATCGATGGCTACTTTGAAGAACCTTTGGCAGTTGCGAGGCTTTTTGGCCTGCGTGGAATTCAACACACGCCATTAGGGACAAAGTCCGGGAGGATTTCACAGCATTACAAAGCATCTCTCACAGCGACTTTCAACATTCATCCTGTGAGTTGTTTTTTTCTTCTGTGGAAATTTCAAAGGAGAATTTTTTTTTTGTCCGTTTCAGGAGAGAAAGTTTTATTAGTGGGTGAAGGTTTTTAGAAAAATAGGAACTGCTTCAAATAAAATCGAATCATGTTACGTCAGGATGAAGAACAAAAGCCAGGCATTTTTTTTTGTTTTGTTCCAGAAAGAAAGGAAGCATTGTTTTCTATATTTTCTTCTCTCTCTCTCTTTTCCCCCTCGCACAGACAAAAAGTGAACGTGTTTCCTGTATTGGGATTATTTCAATAAATGTCAGGGATGTGTCAGTGATAAGCCTGAACAATAAGGAGAACCCACACGTTTTTTTTTACTCTCTCTTTTCCCCCTCGCACAGACAAAAAGTGAACGTGTTTCCTGTATTGGGATTATTTCAATAAATGTCAGGGATGTGTCAGTGATAAGCCTGAACAATAAGGAGAACCCACACGTTTTTTTTTTAATATATATTGAGGATTATACTGAAGTTGCAGATGAATAGAGATCAAACTGTATATTTTTTCACAGAATGAAATGTTTTTTTTTTACCTTCGACTAATTCAATTTTGAAGGGAGACAATTTAATGAAAATTATTTTCAAAATTTGCGGATGATTTTTTTTCTTTCCGTGTTATTTATAAAAAGGAATTAAAGGATTTGAGTTTAAGTTTTAAAAGAAATTATGAATACGATGCCAAACATGGTTTTTGCTTTTGCAAAAGAACTTGGATAGAACTTGGAAATCCGTAAAACTTTCTTTAAGATGAACATTTTTCAAGGTTCAAATTAAATTTCAAGGATTTCGACATTTTTTTTAAGTGGAGCTTTTAGTAATTATGACTTTTTCTTGCATGATTTGCTTGATTTGAAAACAGCTTTGAGAAGGAGATTTTTTCTCATTGCGGATCAATTTTTATTTGCAAATAGTGTATGTATTAATGCAGTTCACTTTTGAGGGAAATCAAGTTTTTTCAAGGAAATTTTACTGGTTATTTTTTTACAGCGCGCTGATTTTGCAATTATTCTGGAGGAGGACCTGGACATTTCTCCAGATTTCTTCAGGTGTGTAGTTTTAGATCTTTTTCAAGTATTTTGAAGATTTTATGTGTCTCTCTCTTCTTGTGCCTCCAGCTATTTCAGCCAACTGGCCCCACTTCTGCTGGAGGATGATTCAATATGGTGCATATCAGCCTGGAATGACAACAGCTATGAGCACACATCCAAAGACCCCAGTTTGTTGTACAGGGTAGAAGGGATGCCAGGACTTGGCTGGATGCTGCAAAGGACCCTGTATCAGAAAGAGCTTGAACCCAGGTGGCCTGGGCCAGAAAAAGTATACTATTGGCATTAAATAATACAAAATATAAAAAATATGTGTCATGGTGACAATATTTTGAGTTATGTGTTTGGTGGATTGACAATAGGTCTGGGACTGGGACATGTGGATGAGGCTTCCAGAGGTGCGCAAGGACAGGGAATGCATTTCTCCAGATGTTTCCAGAACTTATCATTTTGGAGCATCTGGACTCAACATGAACTCATACTTCCATGATGCCTATTTCAAGAAACATTCTGCCAATAATTTGCCTGATGTGGCGCTCAAGGATATCTCCAGGTCATTTCCTAAACCTTTTCTTCAAGTGCTTTCATATGTGTATGCCTATGTGTATGTTTTTTTTATTGAATAGTAATTTAGCTCAGTTATGCATAATGATCCAAAGCAGTCTTTTTATACATTGACCTGATGAGTGTTGATTATTTTATTTTTTTACAAAATTTTATGCCATCTAGGGCAAGAAAATAATGGCTTATCAAATTTGATCATCTTTCATCCCCAATCATCTCACTTATTCAAATGTCTCTTCTGTTCTGAATGTCATCCCCAGAAAAGTTCCATCTGCAAAACCCTCATTGAGCATTCAAATACTCTACTGTACATAAGTTTCTGGTTCACTTTATCTCAATATATAACCTTTAAACTCATGAGTAATTTATACATAGTCCAGTAGGGGGCTGATGCATATTGTATAAAGTGTATATTTTATTTTCAGTGGAGTACAGGAAGCAGTTTTACATGTTTCATATGCTTATGTTTTGAATAGACTGAAGAAAGTGGATTATGAAGAGGTGATTCAAGAATTACTCTCAAGAGCGGATTTTGTGAACCACACTTTGTCGCCTTGTGATGAAAACTTTGTTCCAACTTCTGCAGTAAGTGAATTCATTGAAAATTGAATCTTTTTTAAACCTTCAGTTTACCTTCATAAGCTCATTTATTTTCAGGCAGGAGAGGGAAAAACTTTTGTAGCCTTCATAAAAATGGAGAATGAAAAGGATTTTACCACTTGGCTGCAAGTGGCAAAGGTTCGTTTTTTTATATGATTCCATGTAGATGTCGCTACTTTTCAACAGCCCTTTTTGATTTATTCTTGCAGTGCTTTAAGATTTGGGATCTCGATGCCAGGGGGTATCACAAAGGATCCTGGAGGCTTCATGTGAATGGAAGCCATGTGCTCATTGTTGGCACGCCGTTTTCTCCATATTCGTGAGTAAAATAAGTGTTGAAATATTTTTTCCAATTTTTTTTGTCAAAGACTGATGATGAAATTTTTTTGTAATTAAATATGCGAAATTCCGGTGAAACTTTTTTTTCTTCAATTAAAAAAAAATTACTTCATTGATCGGGATTTTTCTTGAAAGAAATTGGCTTTGTATTTTTCACCTAAACTGAAGAGCATACATATTCTTTTTACTAAATATGTGGAATTCCTGCAGGAATATTTCAAAGCTTAATCTTGAAGCCATTGAAAATTATTTTATTGAGTTGGATGGTAAAGGAAATTGGGAGTTTTTGTTTCCTTCAAGACTGATGAACGAACTGAGAATAAATTTTTCACTAAATATGCGAAATCCCCAAGAAAATATTTCGAAACTTCTTCTTGAATCCAACGGAACGTATATGATAAAGTTGGATACTTCTTGAAAGATATTATGGGAGTTATATTTTTTCCAAGGCTGAAGAGCTGAGAAAAGATTTTTTTTTTCAATAAATAATCGAAATTCCTGAGGAAATATTTCCGAACTTCTTCTTGAATCCAATGAATTTCTTCTTTTTCGTTGAATTTATCCTAAGGGAATTTGGCGTCTTTCACATTTTTTTTTTTTTTTACAATTCAACAGGAAACACAAGCCCAGGAATTTGGAGCCAATCCACTTGGAGCCAAAAGGAACCAAACGGTGAAGCAATGGGCAAGAAGATATTTCTGGCTCTGGTCGGCAGAAAGTCGTGATATTTGCACACCCCTTTTGTGATACCAATGAAGAAGTTTTTTCTTCTTCCTCCACATAGAGAAAGGTGAAAGAAAAAAGGCTGGGAATTTTTTGTACCAACCCCTCGTTTTTTGTTTGTTCGCAATTCGAAGGGAAGAATCCTCATATACTTGGGGGGAGTTTGACTCATGTCCTGACAAAACTTTTTTGAAAAGGGAATATTTTTATTTTCTCTTCTGTGGGGAGTGAAGAAAAAAGATGGATTTTGTCTTCCTGGTGCAAACGCGCGGAAAATATTTAATCTTGAACCCTTTTACTCTTCACTTCTGTGTTCCTCTGACTGACCCTTGAAAGGGGGATTTGTGATGAATTCTCCTTTGTGAAAAAGGCATTCGGTTTTCGTTTTTTAAACTATTTGCTTTTTCTTATTTTGTGCCATGACATGAAACTGTGTCCTCTCCATCAAACCTTTTTTTTTGTGAATTTGAAAAAGAATGGCTCTTGAATAATGAAACCTTGTTCCCGCCAGGGATTCCATGAGATTTCATTCGACTGAAAGTGAGGAAATGAAGAATTTCTGTCAAACTCCTTCGCTTACATTTCTTTAATCTTGTTCTGTGCCCATTTATCACTATTGCAGTGTTTCGATGCAGTTGAGAGGCGGCAGATTTGAGCGACACCTGCTCTCAAAATCTGAAAGTCCCAAAAAAGTATTTATCACAACAGGTAGATGTCAGTATCACTGTATACCCAAACATTGGGATGACATCATCAGCTGATGGGAGGAAGCACATGACCTGGATGTCTGTCACCATGGTGATGAGAAATTCTCCCCCCTGGGAAACTATTTTCAACAATCCCTCACTTCCTTAAGCAGCGTTCCCACATGGAGATCCTTCACATAAACTTACAAGAATCAAATATTGCTCTGATGATAGAAAACTATCCTCACACTGTATTAGGGATATTAATCTTGAACTGCTGTAGTAATCAACACATTTCATAAGTAATCAAATGTACAGAACAGTTAATAAACTCTGTGGCCTCCAAAAGTTTAAATTATTTAAAAGATTCCTTTATTCTGACATCCTGCATGCATGAAAGTGAAATTGAGAAGGGTTCAGCCTCCTTTGAATTAACCTTAAAAATCCTCCATGAACCATGAAAAACAAACCTGCTTCAAAAAGGTCTTCACACTGATGCTGGTCTGTTCTGCGGCTCACCAAGGAAAAAATCATGTACCCCAGAAAATATATTGAAGAACTGAAAATGCTATAAATTAGAAGGAATCCCATTTTGTCCTATTTCCAACCTTCAAGTGTATCATGTGGCAAAATGTCTTCCACAGCATATGAGCTAGGATGCAACAAAAATATGAAGATGGAGAATACATATAGCAGAACAGCAACAACTTTGTCCATGACCCCTTGGATGTCCCAAGTTAACTCCCTCTCATTCTATCCCATACCCTCTCCCAGGACTCTCAGGGTCTTGGCCTTTTACACTCCCCTCTAGGTTCTACAGTATAACATTCTCACTCAGAAAACTCTCTTTGGGTGGGAGAATTTTTGGGGAAACATTCAGGGGGCGACTGCGCACATTGCGAGGGGCTTGCAAAAAATGTCTTCGCTTCACAGAAAACATTAAAATCACTCTCCTGTGATAAGCCAGCAAAAAACTGAAGTGCACAATATAGCAGAATTATTGCATTAAACATCCAAGATTGAGAAGGAACTATAACAAGACATTGGGATGCTTAATAAAATAGAAAGTGTTTAAATATGAGGGATTCAGTTTCATCTAAAAAAAACAAAGGGCATTCTGGCGCGTGTGGAGTGAAAAATGTTATAGTCAACTTAAGTGATCATGTATTGAGTTCAGAATGTTGATGTATCCAAGGACAAACGCCTGAAAAATTCGCTGAAAATATTTTTCCAGGAAGTGTCCATAGGTTAAAGACATGATTGACGCTTTGGAAAATTTAGTTCAGCTACAGGAGTTGAAAGACTGATGCAATTTGCACATCTGCCAATTATTTTGATGTACTGCATGGTCAATTGTGAATTTTGGAGATGACTGGCATCTCAGTACTGTACATTGATGAACCAGGAATGAATTTTTTAAATTTAAAATTCCTAGCAAGTTATTTCCTAATTTCTGTAGTTATGATCAGTGAATAGTTTTGATGATACCTTTTAAACTTTAGCAAGAGCACTTTCTGACAGAGGAAACCCTGGGGTTCACTAAAATGAAGAGTTGTCTTTGTATTGTGTGACTGTTTTAATTTTAGAATCACTATAATGAAATTTGCTNACTCAGAAAACTCTCTTTGGGTGGGAGAATTTTTGGGGAAACATTCAGGGGGCGACTGCGCACATTGCGAGGGGCTTGCAAAAAATGTCTTCGCTTCACAGAAAACATTAAAATCACTCTCCTGTGAGGAGTCAGCAAAAAACTGAAGTGCACAATATAGCAGAATTATTGCATTAAACATCCAAGATTGAGAAGGAACTATAACAAGACATTGGGATGTTTGATAAAATAATTTTTTTTTAAATATGAGGGATTCAGTTTCATCTAAAAAAAAAAAAAGGCATTCTGGCGCGTGTGGAGTGAAAAATGTTATAGTCAACTTAACTGATCATGTATTGAGTTCAGAATGTTGATGTATCCAAGGACAAACGCCTGAAATTTTTGCTGAACACATTTTTTTCCAGGAAGTGCTTATAGGTGAAAGACATGAGTGACACTTTGGAAAATTTAGTTCAGCTACAGGAGTTGACAGACTGATGAAATTTTCACATTTGCCAATTATTTTGATGTACTGCATGGTCAATTGTGAATTTTAGAGATGACTGGCATCTCAGTACTGTACATTGATGAACCAGGAATGAATTTTTTAAATTTAAAATTCCTAGCAAGTTATTTCCTAATTTCTGTAGTTATGATCAGTGAATAGTTTTGATGATACCTTTAAAACACTAAGAAAGAACAACCTGTAAAAACTTGACTGGATGTTCTCTTTCCTCATCCTCCCATTTGATCACAGTAGTCATACACATTTTAATACAAGAAATAAAAGCGAATAAAGGTGAAACTAGCAATTGTATAATTTCTTCATCATGGCTCTTTAACCGTTTGAAGATGTGAAATGTGTGAAAAATGTTTCGGTCCTGGCTTTAATTATTCCTTGGTGAATATGATTTAACCTTGTTACTAGAAACTTTCAATAAGGCTTTACAGCATTTTTGAATATTCTCAAAAATATTTGAAGCACATCATATGGCACAGCATATTCATCAAATCCAGAGGAAATCATCTTTGATACAAGTGCCAAAAAATATGTTCTTTGATGCATCACACTTTTATTCCAGGAGAAATACAATAGTTGTATGATTCCTTTAGTATAAAAGGTTTTTATATGTGGTTTTCATAATATGTGGAAATATATTTTGCTGAAAATTGCAAAAAAGTAAAACTTTGTAGAAGTCCACAACTCTTGAGGGGGACACCAAGACACAGCAGATGGGTTTCCCTATATCCACCCCAGGGATGAAGTTCTCTCTCTTTCTTCCCCCCTCTTTTACCCCCAACAAGTCTCCCTCCTCCCCCCAATTTCGATCACACAAAAAGGGGGTATGACAGCAGCAGCAGAGGGAGTGACTGAGGGACAGGTACAGCAAAAAAAAAAGCCACCGGTCCACCAGCAAGGAACCCCTTTCAGTTCCCAGCTCGGGTCTTCCTGGGCGAGTCAGGACCTGTAGAATTTATGCCTGGCATTTTTTTTTTAAACTCTCAACCCCATGTTTCTATTATCACAATAGACACATTCTTAAATGATATAAAATCGATTTCTTCCAAATTCATGGCGTAGGAATATTAGAGCAAATAAGTTTGCGCGAAAATCGTTAAAATAGGCATCCAACAACAACATACGCCTGGGATTTTTCCACTCGTCCATTGATCCCTCCTGCCAGATATGTATTCGCTTTTTTTATCTCTTGGATATTCCAAGAAAAATCTGTGCGCGTCAAAAAACCGGTTCGTGTCTTGCAACATGTACTTGTGTGTTTTTTTCATAAAGGCCAAAAGCTGTGTGTTTCATTCAGTGAGAAAAAAAACCCTGACCTTGCCCCTAAAATATAATTGGCACTTTTTTGAGACTGGAGAGACAAGGTCAGGTTCATTCATACACTTTTTTCCGCAGGTGTATATGTTTTGCGCAGAAATGCTTCAGTGTGGATTTACATGGCAGCAGCAGACATTAGAAAACTAATATCTGGAAGTGCTTGTGTATATTTTTACCATATTTTTATTTGCTTGGTGAAATAGAAGAATATATCCGGGATTTGGTGTGAATGATGAAAAAAGATGGAGACAGTGATAGTGAGAGTGGTTGCTGTGAGACTGTGAGTGCTTACAGTGGACTGAGTGCAGCAGTGCCACAGGATGTCACTGTTTCCTTTGAGGAGTCAGACACCAGCGACATCTTGAGGAGCAGTGTGAATAAAGCTGCACTGGGAATCATGTCTTCCTCTGGCCTGGACAGGTGTCCCCTGACACAACAAGAGTTCCTGACATCATATGCCTACCATGAGAAGAAACAGGCCAGTGAGTGTTTTTTATTTTTTTTATTTTTTGCATCTCAATAAATCAAGTTATATTTTTAAATGAAATTGGAGACATTTTTGCTTTGCTTTCCCATCATAGGTGTCATGGAGAGAACCAAGTCTGCTGTGTCAACAGGCATGAATTTCAAGTGCAGTAAGGAATGTTTGCTGAACAATTTGTACAAGAGAGTGCCAATTTTTAAATGGCTGCCTGAGTATGATTTCAAGTCAAACATGTTGGGTGATCTGATTGCTGGGATTACTGTTGCTGTGATGCACATACCTCAAGGTATATATATATGATCAATATAAATAATGGTCACTCTACTGGACATGATGGTTTCTAATAAGTTTTTTTCAGTTCATTGCCCTGTAATCAAGTTCTCTACACTTATATAAATGCAATAATCAAAATTGTTGGGTCTGAAACATCCAAACCACTGTATATTCACTATAATGAGTGTCTTCAATTCCATGCCTGGTTTTTTTGGTACTTTCTTGATCACCATTTGCATTTTTAATAAAGCCCATAAGATCTTGCAACAAAATATAGTAAAGCAATACATTACTATACATGGAATAATTATAGATTTCAAGGTCAGTAAATTTTTCAATTAGAATTGTATGCCTTTTGCATCTGAGACATGCCGGTTCATGAGAAGAATTAGCAGTAAAATTGAAATACTTTGTAGAAAATTGACTGCCTGCTGCTCTATCATTACACATGCAAGTGCTGTGGCATCCTCATTTATACACAATGAAAGATTTTTTTAAAATAATGCATGGACTTTTTGTCCCATCTTAATTATCCAAATGTTGTGACAAATAAGTTCCTATACTGTTAGCACCTAATGCTGCTCAGTTTCAAGTTTTATGAAATTATTTTGAAACTCTAAATTGCAGGAATGGCTTATGCTATGCTGTCAGGGTTACCAGCTGTGAATGGGCTTTACATGGCCTTCTTCCCTGTCCTAGTCTACATCATCTTTGGGTCATCAAAACACAACTCTATTGGTATGCTATAATTTTTTTATTTATTTAATCCTCAAGAGTCATTAGTGTAATTCCTTCTGCTTTTTCTGGCATAGGTACCTTTGCTGTAGTTTTATTGATGACAGGAACAGTGTCTCTGGAACTCATGGAAAAACATGGATCCAGTCATTTACATGATTACACAATCACCCAGACTGTGGCTCTGGTGACTTTTGCAGTGGGCATGTGGCAGGTGGGCATTTTTACACTGACAACTTCATTGCTTACATAGATTCAGCATTCATGATTACACCAAATCATTCCTTTTCTTTTTTTTGAAGATGATCATGGGACTGCTGAGGCTTGGAGCCTTGTCAGTGCTCCTGTCAGATGTTCTAGTTAGTGGATTCACCACTGGAGCAGCAGTACATGTGCTAACCTCTCAGCTCAAAGGCATATTTGGAATCACTGTACCCAGACAAACCCGCTTTCCCAAGCTGATCAGAGTAAATTGTCCATACTAAGAGCATTGTTGAGTTACAATAATTCTAACATATTTACACTTACTTTTCAGACTCACTGGTATGTCTTGAACCACCTCAAGGAGAGCAATGTTGTTGCGCTGATAGTGTCTTTTGTTACCATGTTCATCCTGGTTATCAACAATGATTTTGTGAAGGTGAGCATGTTTTGGAACCTTTTGAATGATGGCTTGCCAATCAGAAACCATTGGACAAATTTTTATTTATTTACGGTGAGTGCAAAAAAGGGAATTTATTGCTGAAGAGAATATGATATAAAATGCTTAGCCTTGGGAAGAGTTCATGCATTGAATTCCAATCAAAGTTCTGCATTTTCTTTTTCCTCTTTTTTATTTAGCCAAGATTGGCAAGAAGGTGTTCAGTGCCAGTGCCCATAGAGTTGATTGCAGTGGTGGGAGGAACGCTATTGTCATACCTCCTAAATTTGAATGCAGAGTACAAAGTACCAGTGATAGGAGAGGTGCCAACTGGGTAAGAGACTTTATAGTTCATCTGCCTGAAGCAGAAATTCATTTTTGCAATTTTTTAAAAAGGTTGCCAGCACCTGAAAGTCCACCTCTGGAGCTTTTGCATGATGCCCTTGCAGGTTCAATTGTCATCGCTGTGGTGGCCTACACAACATCTTATTCAATGGCCAGGATTTTTGCCAGACGGCTGAACTATGCCATTGATGCCAATCAGGAGTTGCTGGCTTTGGTGAGGAACCGCATAACTTACATTTTCTTATACTGACATTTGCACATTTCTGTTCTTATGGAAGATATTTTTAAGGACTCATTATCTTCACCATTTGTCCAACTTAGTTTCATGCGCCATCATACCTTCTTTATTCATAGCAATAGTCATTCATAGATGTTCTCAATGAGCTCCTGTATAGTTGCCTGGTAATTTTCTAGTACTGTACTTCCCATTTTCAAGCCACTTATCACATTCAAAATTATACAGTATTGAAATGTTATAAACAGATTCAAATGTTTCTAATTTCTCAAGTGTTTTCCTGTATACTTTATTAGGAAAATATGTTCTGTACTCAGAAAATCAGAACAATTTGAATCATTTTATAATACTTTATTAGAATTTCCTAATGTCAAGTCAGTCAATATTTAAGACTCACTTTTGAAGTCACAAATATTTCACTTGAATTTTATTTAAATGTAATATACTTTGTTGAGACCATTATTTAATACATAATACTGTAGTGAGTTCTCATTATAATAATAGCTTTATTTGTTGTGAGCTCAATTCAAAATAATATTACTCTTAGTTTTAGCTGCAGTTCTTTATTCAAGCACACTGGATTTCATTATTAACCGTTTTACTTTTTAGGGACTCGCCAACATAGTTGGGTCATTTTTCCAGTGTGGTCCAGTTGCAGCCTCACTTTCCAGAAGCTTGATTCAGGAATCAGTTGGAGGAGCAACTCAAATTGCCAGCATAGTGTCAGCAGGTCTCATTGTCATCGTCTTGCTGTTCCTGGGACCATTGTTTGAACCGTTGCCAAGAGTAAGCTAGAAATTTAATCTAACCTGGTGTTTAAACTCATCACTCAAACTTATTGAACTCAAACAAATTTATTTTTTCATATAGTGCATCTTATCGTCCATCATCGTGGTGTCACTCAAAGGGATGTTCCTGCAGTTGAGGGACTTGAAGCAAGCGTGGCAGTCCAGCAAGTTGGACGCCATGATTTGGGTCGCCACGTTCTTGTCAGTTGTTATAGTTGACATAGATTATGGATTGGCCATTGGTGTGGCTGTTTCACTCATCACTCTGTTGTGGAGGAATCAGCATGCGTATGCTTGTACTTTGGGCGAGATTCCAAGGACAGGCATTTTTGTGGACTCTCAACGTTTTGACGCAGTACGTTTTATTTCTTATTTTTAGTAAGATACTGCGAATGACAGGTGTTTTTTTTCAGATAATGTTATTGTTTTGAAATTCACAAAAAAACTTAATTTTGAATATAAACATTACTGTGCAATAGATTGAAAAACTATACAGGGTAGCCAAGAATGTTTGAAAAAAATTCCTTTCAATTAAATTTATTTTTAGTGAAATTATAAAAAAATAATAATTTTGTATACAAGTAGTATTACAGTACAATTGATTTTATATAACTGTACAAGGTAGCCCAGAATGTTTGATAAATCTTTTCAAAGAATTTTCTTTTTTGTGAAATTAAAGAAAAACAGAATTTTGAATGATAGTGTGCAATAAGCATACAGGGTAGCCCAAAATATTTGATTTATTTTTCTTTTTAGTGAAATTTAAAAAAAAACAGAATTTTTATTATAAATGCTGCTGTGCTATTGATTTTATAACTACAGTATACAGGATAGCCCAGAATACTTTTTTGATTTTTATTTTTGGTGAAATTATCAAAAAGTGAATTTTGAATATATATATTACATTGCAATTGGTTTTATAACAATACCAGGTGTAGCCCAGAATTTTTTATTTGATTTTCCAATTGAATTTTAACTGGAGTGAGCTTCAGGAGTATAATTGATTGTATATCTCTATGGAGGGTGGTCCAGAATGATTAACTCCTTTTCAGACTAAATGATGAAAAGCAATCTCTAAAACAATTTTGTCTATATACAACGGTTTTCTCTGTATAATCAATGTTTTTTTGCTCCAATATTGAGATCTGTCATCCCCCGCATGTCATGGCCCCTTGAATTTCATTCTACAAAGAGAACCCACCTATACATACATTTTATGATACAGTATATATATACAGTGTATTTTTTATGCAGTACTGTATCTTAATTTCTGTTGCGGGAAAACTAACAAAAAAACAGGCAGACGAGATACACAACATCAAGATATTCCACTACGGCGCCGGTCTCCACTTTGCCAATGGCGACCATTTCCGGGAAGTGCTGTTTGACATGACCGGCCTTGACCCAGTCAAGTGGCACGAACAGGCCATCAAGCGACTCAAGAGAGCCGAAAAGCTACGGCTGCAGTCAAGAGCGCCATCTGCCGCCGTCCTCACAACCTCTGGGGACAACAGCAATGGCGACTCTGTTGCTGGTAGTGGTGGTGCAGCAGCAGCAGCAAGTGCTGCTGCTGCTGCAAATGGGGAAGGACATGACACTTGCTGTGAACGATGTCCATTGATTTGGCTCAACTGCTGCAGCTTTTGCAAGGCCAGGACTGAGAAGCTTGATGAGGCTTCAAAGGGGGCCACAGAGAAATTTTTGAAAGATTCTAGAGTGAGTTTTTCTTATATTTTGTTTTTTTCTTGGGCAAGGAAACCATTTTGCTTATAGTTTGAAAACAAATATGCGTCTCCTTCATTTAAAAAAGAGAATATTTTCTGCTGTGTCCTGAGTATCAAAGACAAACTGTTTCAATGTGGATGTATAGATGTCTCTATAGGTAATTTCCATTATATTAGCATTTCAATATTTTGAAGTTCATTTTGTATATTTTTGGGGGAATTTCCAAAATTCTCAAACTGGATGAGCCCTTTTTGCCTATGCTGTCTATGTGCTGTGAGACCCCATTTTGAGTCTTCCTTAATAAAGCTAAAATACATATTTCAGAGGAGTCAATTTTAGTAACAATTTTAGTATTGTGTATAATGCACAATTGTTTTTGGAAGGTTAAGCTGTGTGTTTGTTACTGATGCATTTTCCTTTTTTAATTTTTTTTTTAGTGGTGTTGCTTCAACATTTGTGAATAACCTTATTTACAGTGAATTGAAAATCACTATACTGTGTACAGAAAGTTATGCTCCTTATTTTCCCCCAGGTGAATTTCAAAGATGAGAGTGTTGTG